AGAACCACTGCTCTAGAGACGCACCCAAAGCGGAAGTACGTATCTCCGGGCCACGGTTTAGTCCAAAATAATTTCTATTGTGAATATACCACCAGATGGAGCCAAAGGCACAGATCGAATATCGCAAAGGAATATACAGTATTTTTACCTTTGAAATGTTTGCCTCTATTATTTCTTGAAAATTTTCTCTTGAAATTATTAATATATGTTTGTTAATACATACAGAGGTACGGATCAGTTTTGGCAATACTGATACTTTTCTCAGCATTTTCGCCAACTATGTTTAAATCAACAATTTAAATAATTTGTGAATTAAAGTTATTGCACAATATTGCACGTAGCCAAGCGGTCAATAAGAGGCATTGCATTATAAATAGGGAAAGAATTATAAAGAGGTAGTGCATTATAACGAGGTGGGGGTATGCTGTCAGAGAGCCGGTCACATGACAGCCGATCTATAAACAGTGCACTGTCCCCTTAAATTACAGCTGGACTGTTCAGTTGCTCTTCTGGAAATTCGGCTGTGTTTGCAGCTTACAGCCCGGGCGACGGAGTTGTCGTGTCTCCCTTCGAATCATGGAAGGTAGGTGGCAATCGGACAGCGACTGGTATTCAAGTCGCCTCTCGGATATTGACATGTGCGCAGGTCACGCGACCGGACAGCGGATCTTATACGAAATAAATGCAGTCGGAAAGCGCATTTTAAATAATTTCCACCAGTAGTGCGTTTTCAAATGCATGTCTACAAAATAACGCGACGTGTTTTTGCGCTGTTCCACAGGGACACATTATTGCTATTAATAAAAAACGGATTTACATTTGCGGCAGTCACTTCGCCCGGAGGAGGAGGAGACGTGGGCCTAGTATCGCGCAAGTTTATCTTGTGGTCTCCTTAAAATCAAATCGGTGTGACCACGACAGCGTGGGAAAACGTCATATAACTATCGACGACTGGCCAGATATCTACGTGCGCTCAGCCCAAACCGTAAAACGACGATCGAGCGCTGCATTTTTTCCAGTAACCATCCCTGGTCACGTACATAAGTTTTCCCGTAACTGTATAAAAATAATAATTATTATTATTATTATTACGATAGGGACAAAAACTCACTTATGACCAAAGCATTCGGCAAACAAAACGTGCGTTTCTGTTATTGTGCACTATGTGTGGGATAGGTTTTACTGTCGTTTGCGTATTTAAACTGTAAAGATATGGCTGTGTCGTTGCTTCATAAGCGATCGTATATGTTGGAGGTCACGTCCCAGGTATGGCCGGTATGAGTACGACCAATGGGATAAACGCGATCGCTTATCAAAATCACGACGAGATTACGACAGAGCGTTATGCGGCCCTGCATCTTATTTGACCATTTAAATGTATTGGCGAATAATTTTGGTTTCGCTTGTTTTCCCAATTAATGTTAATTGTCATCGGCATCGTGGGAAACAGCATGACTATATATATTCAAGACCCCGTTTATAGTGTGCATTATATATAGAGCATAATGATTGAAAAGATCGCTCATGTTTCAATTTAAAAGTAAGCTCTGTAATAATGACCACCATTTAACTAAACCCATATCTTGCGTTTCCCTTTCACCTTTTACGTAATTTTGATTCAGCCGATCGTTAATTAGTTTGCTACGCAGTAAACATCGATCTTATCCTTGCCATATGGTGAAGGCGTGCAAGCAGGAAAGAGCCTTTTAACTTCATCATAGATTATATGCCTTAATAGATGATGGAAAGTGCGCTGGACCGCTGGTCGGTGAAGATTTTGTACATCATTTACCTACAGCATTAGGTTTGGGGCTGCTGGCAGAAGCATCAAATAGCTTGTGGGAGTGGGGCTGTAAGCCACGGTGCTTAAACCACTCATCCGTATTCCGTAGCTGCTAATCTAGTACAGATCGAGCGTAAAACTGTAACAAACACATTCACATCTGGCAGAAAACAGGAACACAAATTTACAATGATGCAACAGCGTCGGTGCTGGATATAAAATGTAAATACAGTTTTGCTGTTTTTGTTGTTCTAGAGCAGGGTTATTCAACTCACGGTCCTCGAGGTCCGAGCTGCTGGTTTTCCAGCCTTCCTTTACCTGTCAGTCAGGTGTGAAGCCTCTGACCAATCAGAATCAGTAATTATTAAACAACTGCCTGGGAGAACTGAAAACAAGGCCTGGATTTGGAATCGAGGTCCAGAGTTGAAGAACCCTGTTCTAGAGCTCTCTGCCCTAAATCAGTTACAGTGCGGAAAATACAGGCCGCTCACTAACTACGAAGACAGAGTTTATGTTGTTTTATAGAGCAATCAGTGGTTTGTAACACCTAATTGCTTAGAATGATTGCATGCCCACATACATGAATTACTCGAGCCATGAATTACAACCCCCTGGCCTCGTAATCGCTTGAGACGCACGTGTGACAGCCCCCCAAGCACCTACCTACCTACCTACCTCCCTCCCTCTCCTGTTTTGCGCTACCCGGCAGACCAGGCTTTCGTAACACTGGCCACCAACGACAGCTATGCCAAGGGGGCCATGGTGGTAGCCAAGTCCCTACGGAGTTACAACACCTCCAGGAAGCTAGTGGTTCTGATGGGCCCCCACGTGTCGGACGCCTACAGGTGAGGCTTCATCCAGCTAACCCAGGGCTAGTGAGGGGGTGGAGTGGGTAGATAAGGATTTCATGTGTGTGCCTTCCTAAATGGTAAGAATTGTCATGGTATGTACGTAACTATAATGAGCAAGTCCTTTAACCCCCAAAATATGCATTGCTTTGGATAAAAACATCATCTAAATAATGTAAATTAATAATTTGAATGTGGTACAGTGATGACCCTTGACTGACAGGCTTCTTACTAGTAATTGGGCACAGCATGTGGGCCAGCGGGCTAAGCCTTTGTGCCTGGAGGGTCGCCGGTTTGAGGCCAGCCTCAGCAGAATGGTCAGGTCATTTGGCCCCTTAAGTGAGGCCCTTAACCCCCAGCTCCATGGGTGCCGCTGGTGAGCGAGATATGGGTTGTGCGAAAATAGTTTATATGATCTGTAAAACTATTATAATTATTAACTTGGATTATGAGTATGAGCAATACACCAGGGAAAATTAGACCTTATATGGCTTTTGTATCTAATAGTTTACAATTCGTCACTGTTAATAGCAGTGGTTGTTTTGATTTTAAAAGCCCCAGTTTTTCTGAGATTGCTGGGTCCTAATGCACCCCAAGAACCGACCCTGTGTTTACGCTGCTATTTCTGCCGTGCCTGCTAACGCCAGAGAGGTACTCAGCGCGACCTTCGACGAGGTGCGGCTGGTGGACGTGCTCGATAGCGGGGACTCAGCCCACCTGGCGCTGATGAACCGGCCCGAATTGGGGGTGACACTCACCAAACTCCACTGCTGGACCCTCACACACTACTCCAAGTGCGTGTTCATGGATGCCGACACACTGGTGAGCTGCCTGACCAGAGAGCGTGTCGTGGTGCGACCGGAGAGCATGCCGTGGTTTTTGGGATGCCCAAGTAGTCAGCATTTTCCTCAAAACTCAATGATTAAAACTGAAATGATGACCCCCCCCCTCCCCAGTCATGAGATGGCAGAAACCTGGAGTAAGATGGTTGTTGTTAGTACCTAAAGAGTAAGTTCTGACAGTGCTTTCAATATAATCTGTAAGCATTCCAAATGAATTTCAGTTCTAAGGACCCAATTTGCGCAGATCTGTGCAAAAGCCTTAGACGGTCAAAGCCTCTTTATTTGGATAGGAAGTGTGCATTTGCTCAGAAAAACACATTTTGGCATTAGAACATATGCAAATTTATAGTAACACAATAGAAGAATTACGTTTATTCATTGCACAATATATATATGTGCAATGCCACCTATAGTGATTTGAAGTGATGAGGGAAGAAAAAAAAAAAGTTAATGGTTATGATAAAAGTATACAAGAGTAATTTTTATAATAGTAGTAATAATAATAATAACAAAGGTGAGA